TCAGCAGGAGAGGAAGAAAACACAGCAGGGTTTGGTCAGAACTATCAGCTTCATCTTGTCTGAACAGGGAAAAAAATAACTTAATAATGCAAGTATTTTAGATTTGCAAGTTTTCTGTTCTTACGGATGAACTACTAGTAAAGCTATGGTTGAAGGTAGAAGTTGCAAGCAAAAGCTTGTCAGAATTTCAAAAAAAAGTCTTCAGGCTAGCCTCTAGTTTAGCTCCACTTTTTGAATATGGTGATTAATGTACCTATTGCATCCACAATTTGAAATGCTATGGTAAAGGTGTGTTGTATCTATCTCAGTTGAATCTCTGAATATTGTGCTTGTTACGGTTTGCATTCAGCAGAATGTGTACTCTAGCCTGTGAGTAGATCAGTGTACAGGAAATCCAAGGTGATTGACACTGTATTGTCTTTTGTTGTGTCTTGACTTTATCACACAACTTTGTATCAAAATATTTTGATGTTGTAGGTCATCTTTTTGTATTGTAGTTGAGACCATTTTAATAGAAGTCTTTCTTCAGGCTTTTGTGCTTTTAGGCAAAGCTTTGATGGTAAAATTTGGAAACTAGTTCCAAGCGTTAGAGATATCTAGATGTTACGAGCATGAGGATTCTGAATATAGAAAATGCCTTTCACTCCCCAGTCTTTGTGTTCCACAAAGTATGGGGGGACTGGGGGAAATGTGCATGTAAGAGTCAAGGAACTCGGAGAAATTGTTTTTCTCCCATTTTTCAAATCTGAGATTTTGGCAAGACTTCTGCTCTCACAGGATGCCTGCTTAGTCTTTTGCATAGGTATAATATTGTACTCTCCTTGATCTGCCTACGTTTCATCATACTTTATTTCTGAAGCTTGTTTTCGATATTGCGTGAGGATTGCTGATAAAGCTCCTGAATGTTGGTAGCCCAAATAATTTATAGACTTGTGCATTAAAAAAAACCCCTTCAGCTGAACCATGACGAGTCCAAAGGCATATCTCTTTCTAGTACACAGAGAGTATTATAAACTCTTTTTCTGATTTACAGGCAGAAAAAATAACTGGCCACCCCTTCCTGAGAATTTTCCAGTGGGTCCTTGTTTCTATCAGGACTTTTCTGTAGACATTCCTGTAGAATTCCAGAAGACAGTGAAGATTATGTACTATTTGTGGATGTGTAAGTATTTTTTAACAGAAAAAGCAAAATGCATTTTCAAACTTCATGATCCATGCCTGCTACTTTGAATTTTGCAACATCTATAATGTGAAATGTATTTTTTAATCCAGAAGTCAGATGGTAAAGTGAAATCTTTATGTTAGCTTCAATTTTAAGAGTATTGAATTATTTCATAGAAACTTTGATGGAAGAAAGGGGAAAGTATTACCCTAAAGCAGTTTGGTTTATACCATATTGTAGCTTTCTGTTTAAATATTTATATTGTTATAAAACAATCTCTGAGTGTTTATTACCTTAAAAATAATTTTACTGTTTTTAAAATCAGCTTATATATTAAGAAATCTAATTCACAGTATTTATTAGACTTTTGAGTATAAAATGTGCAACATTCATGTGTCTACTATTTAATATAGTTTTAGTCTATTTAGAAAAATAAATAGTATAACATAAATTAGCAGAAGAAACAGTCTATGTTTTATATATAACTCTTTGTTGTACTGCACAAGTGCTCTAAACAGTCCTTGAGGGGTTAATTTTGCATTCATTCAGGTGCTGTGTTTTGATAGGAAAAATGCTGGATGAATCAAATGTACAAATGCCATGACCTTTGTTTCTTCTGTCTTGTCCAGTGTGATGAGAGCTTAGTAAGTACCCTAAGACTGAGGAAATTCCAAAGGTTTAGGTGTTTTGATACCATTAATATATATTTTAGTTTACTAAAGTCATGTGAATTTCAGACTTTTTCTGTATTTTTTCAGGGTTCCAGATTTAACAAATCTGCATATTTTACCTGTTAATTTGGGAATCTTATTGTTGTGACTGAACCATATATTTGAATCCCATAAAATGAGCAGTCAGCACTCAGTCAAGTGAATTTCACTTCATTATCTACAACTTTATCCACTATCTTTAAATAAGTAAATGAATAAATCCTATTGTAGAATGAGAGATTAGTCACTCATAAATCTGATAGACATTTAAGTTTTATATCAAGTCTATAATCATGGACTCCAAAATTTTAGAATAGCTGCTAACTGACCATTTGCAGGACTGAGTTCTAAAAGTACTTTATGTTTTAAACACAAAGTGAAGTTGGGCAGTGAGAACTGGAGTATTAATACTCTTTTTCTTTTTTTGCCCTTATTATGGCAATAAATTAAGAAACCAGTGACATACTATTTCAAAACAGATGAGAATTCTGCCCTCATTTTAAGCTGACAGATTTTCTTCTAGGTAGACTGAGATTGTAACTGAGTTTCCTTGTTCTTTTCCTTCTTTAGCTCTCATTCTCTATCTCTGACTTAGGGATCACTAAGTAAGGAAGGAGCAGGGCATATTAAAAGAAAAGAAAGAATGAAATGAAGAAGCCTGAAGAATATTTCAGGCTAAAGAAAATGATTGAATACAGAGCTCCCTGCCTTAGGGCTGGCTGTTCAGTCAGTCCTTGTGACTCTTCTTTTTCAGGGATATACCTGCTTGGTTTGGCTCTTACTGCATTAGAGTGGCTATGCTTCCTTAACGAATGCACTCATTACCATAGCAAACCAACCCGCTGCTGCTTGCTGCTCTGCTCTATATTTTATTTCCTCTTCTGGAACTTCCTAGGTCTTATAAGGCCTGGAGGTCCATGAACATACTGATATTCAGATAAGTCTAGTTCCAGCTGCTCAGCACTTTGTAAAGTAGGTTAGTTTTCCTGCCCCTCTTTAGCAGCCCTAGGAACACACCTTTCTATTTCTTTCTTTGTGTGTGTGTGTTGCCTTGTTTAGTACCAATTTTAATATCTTTATTCTTAGTCTTTACATTTCTGAGGAAACTTTCTTATCTTTCATGGGATCAATAAACCTTTTATAGCGTGAGAATAGAGGTCTGCTTGTATCCCATTCCCAGTGAATTTCTCCACCTTTTCTCTGTTGGTGTCAGAAGTCAGAATGGTCTAATTCCTTCATGTGGTTTTCTCTTTGCCCAGATATTTTTTCTCCCGAAACTGCCTTTTTGTTTTTTTTTTTTTTTCGCAGTTTTGCTGGCTCATTGGCCCTGGGCTTTTTAGATCTCTATGCACTGCTACTAGTGAAATGCCCATGCCCCATATCTCTTGACCGTTATCTGACAACAAACATTTTTGTCTCAAAAGCCTTGTTTTCCAGTTACTTTCCCACAGGCTGGTAGGATGCAAAATGAGCAATACTAATTTTCAAAGAATATTTATTTTTTGAAGTTAAAACTGAAGAGCTGCATAATCTTATGGAAAGTTTTTGAGGCATATGCATTTGTTGTTTTGTATTGTTTGTGAGTGTTTCCCTTTTTCTGTGAACAAGACTTTTAAAAGTTTTTAAAGACATATGGCTTAAGCTGTAGATTGTGATGACTATCTACCTTAAGGTACCAACTGTTTTGATGCTTATTCTGTTTAGGAGAGTTTTGTTTCGTCCATCCTTCTGTCTGAGAAAATGATCAGTAGCACCTATGTCAGTCCGTGCTAATGTTTGTTTTACCTGATCTTGATGACCTCCAAGGAGGGATACCTTGTAAACTCCCCCCCCCACCCAAATTCAGGCCATTCTAGTATGTTGCCATCCTTGTCATTAGAAGATGTTTCCTAGCATATAATTTAATTCTCCTGTGCTGAAATTTATTTTTGTTGTTCTGTCCATTGTTTTTACGGAGAACACGTTTATTCCCCATAGTCATCCTCTTTTAGCTAAATTATCGTAGTTCACTCAGCCTTTCTTTGTACGTCATCTTTTCTAGACTTCTGATAGTTTTGCTGCTGTCTTGTAGATTCATCATTTCATCCCTTCCATATTATTATGGGTTTTTTAGTGTGTAGCGTTCAAAATTGGACAGTGTGGACTGTCTAATTAACTTCAGCTGTCTTAATATACTGAGTAGAGAGAAAAAAGAAATAGTTCACATATTTGGTAGACTGTACGCGTGTTCCTGCATCCTTTTGTCAACAGAGGAATGTTTGCATCTCTCAGGCAAGCTAAAAAGAGCAGAACGGACAAGGCAAAAAAGATAGACTTTAACTGAAGCCACTCTGATATGATCCAAGGTTGTATGTGATCAAACTTTGCCAGCTTTTAGCTCACTTACCAGTTGCCACGTGGCTGCAAAATTCTCTCTTTTATGGACATTCTGTTCCAGTTGAGGCATTCCACTGCAGGGTTGTAATAGTCCAGCTGATTCCTGGGAGAAAGCTCGTTCTTTGTGTAACATATCCTAATGAGGACTTTGGTTTCCTCAAAACAGCATCAATAAAACATCACTGAAATGAACCTTACTACAAAAATCTGTTTCTTGCAGTCCAAATGGGACTGCAAAATAAAGTAGATGTCAAATAGACAGCATCACTGCAACTTGTGACCTTTATCTAAAATTCACTTTCAGACAATAATGGGTGCTAAAACATAGTTAATTAAGGTGAGGATTGTGTGTCTAAGTAGGCTTCTTCTATACTATGAAGTTACACTAATAAAAATGAATTTGTGAGCCTGAATATTTCATTAAACCAATATAATTTCTCACTGTTTGCTCTTATTCTGGCATGAGTGACCTTTTTTAAACTCACCTTCTTTGTCAACTGAACTAGAAAAAGGCATTCTCAGGTCTCTTTACGTTGAGTACTGCATTGCTCGAGCTGGGCTGGTTCATTGAGGTTATTGTCATTTAGCTATTCTGTGGTACAGAGTTCTGCCACAGCCTTGGTTTGTTTCAGCCCTCAGGTAGTCATTATCTTGTAATAACTTTTATCACAGTTGAATTCAAAGAGACAAATAGGAGGAAGATACTTAGAAAACTGTTACCCTGAATATAAAACAGCTGTCTTTTCATTTAATGGGAAAGTTTGTATATGTCACTTAGTGAATCCAGTGGCTCAAAGAATGAGTGCCTCTCTGGCACGCAGGAGTTAAGAGAAAGGGGAGAACTGTCAATGAAGTTCTGTGTCTTCATCTGTAGTTTGCTGCTAGTGAGTTTTTGCAGTTGAGATTCTTTGTAACAGCAGTGAAGTGCTGAAGTAGACCACTATGTTACCAGTTTTATTGCGCTAATAAGTGTCAGTGGCATGTGTGACGTTGTTTCAACCTTCTTCTGCACTGATCCTATTCTCTTAGACCTTGTCCTGTTATCTGAACTGAAATTGTAAAGAGTATATCCTATCTGAAAGTTCAAATTCCACCAGAAGCTGGACCTTTCTAATAATCGATGGAGTCTTCCTTTTTTTCCCAGTATTGACTAGGGGGGAAAAAAAAAGTACCACTCAGTAAACTTTCTCTTATTTATCAAAGAAAGGTAGGGATTTGGATTTGTACCCTGTGTTATACTTGTGATGCACGCACACAAAATCTCTGAAATCGAGTTGCTTTGCTAACTTCTTGGAACAATACTAAAATATTTAAATATATTAAACACTCTTTATTTAAAAAGCACAAAGTTTTCTGTTTCTGATGATTCTTACAGCGGAATGTGATTTCGTTGAGGGAGAAGTGTTTTGAGTTCCTTCAGCCTTTCATGTAAAGATGTGGGCATTTTGATTTAAGGTTTTTTTCCAATAAGATGATTTAGGTTTTATTTAAGTACTAGTTGAGAGGGAAGAACCACCCTTGAAGAGTTTTTTCAGAATCTTTGTGTGTTATATAAACTTACCAGCTCTTCTGTTACTCTTCCTTTCTAGTAAAAGCAGTGTGGACAAGGGAGAATTTAAATGTATATACAGAGCTAAGACTTTATTTTATTTTTTGTTGTGAACTCTTTATGCTACCTAGCTTCTTTATATTTCTCTGAGAAGTGATAAATAAGTAAACCTGTAAGGAGGAGGATGAGCTGTGAGAACTTACAAGTTTGAATGACCAAGATGCTTCTCTGAACTCTAAATAAATAAATAAATAACCATTGGTTCAAGGAACTGCTTGTGCACTCTTAACTATAAATAATTTACTTTATCCTGGTCCACAAGGACAGAAACAGTCCTTTGGGACAGCAGAATCACTCCTGAATCACTAGGTATTGCTGAACTGAAACAGAAATTCATTTTCATCCTTTTTAAGTGTCTGACAGAACTAACCACTGTGCCAGATAGCATGAAAATAGTAGTTGCAATGTTTCTTGCTATTGCTAAGAGAACAATTTATTTGAAATTAATTGTGAAGTCATAATGCCAGTGCATTTTCTTCAGTAGAACTTGATAACCTCTAATATGACCTGCCAGTGAGAAAATGCCAGTATTGATCTGGAACCTGAGTACTGAAGAAGCAAATTTTAAAGACTGTTGATCTGAGAAATATTTGAATATGCCATATGATTTTAGGGTTCTAGAACAGCTCCTCATGGATTTTGTTTTACTCAGAAACACTGTTACTAAGTAGTTCTACTTTTTTCCATGTAAGACAAAGAGTTTTTATCCAAAAGGATATTTTTGAAATATTTCCTTTTAAATTAGAACATGTACAGTGATAATTTTATGGTGTCTTTTATTCCATTTGTAAGCTTTTCTCTAAAAAAACCCATATAGTTACATATTGTAATAGAAGGGCTGTGAGGTCTTCCATTTATTTACTTGTCTGGTTGTAAAGGGAAAATATTTAAATAAGTGCAAATATCTGTGTCCAGTATTTGCTGCAGAAGAAATATCAGTTACTGCAGCTGTGGAAACCTCTTTTACATTATTTTAATTGTCGTCTTAACTTGTTGATGCCCTAGGCATCAAGCCTTTGCTAGAAATCACTCTTAGGGACTCCCTGAGATTGAAAATGTTTTATGTTTATGAAAAGTTTTTTTTTCCTTCACCATGTATCTCATATTACTTCTGTTATATATTGGATTTTCTTGTTCAGTACTTTACGTAGGAATTCTGACTTTACCTGAGAGTTAGAAAACTGTGACAAAACAATTGGCTTATTGCAAAGAGGGTATTGATTAATTGTTAGCATGCTTATGTTTTGTTTACAATACTCCATTTATTTGGGTATTATTTTAAGAGTTGAAATAATTTATTGTATAAACATAATGTAATTAAGACTCTTTTTTGGTTTTGGTTCTACAGTCCATACAGTGACACTGTTTCTTAATATCTTTGGATGTTTGGCCTGGTTTTATGTTGATCCGACACGAGGGGTTGATTTTGGATTGAGTATCCTCTGGTTCTTGCTTTTTACTCCTTGTTCTTTTGTCTGCTGGTACAGACCACTTTATGGAGCTTTCAGGTAACAACTTCAGCTTGGCCTAAGATATTAAAAAATATTTATATATGTATACATTATTCTTCTAATAGAATTTACAGAATTATCGTTATGACAATCCTTCAATATGATTTCATTAGAAACAAGTAGTATATCTGTTATTAGTTCAATTGCCATGTCTGAAACAGATGGCAACATTTAGGAATATCATAGAATATTTAAAATATTTATAGCTTCTGCTATTGACATAACATTTTTAGGAAATACTTAACTTTGTATTGGGCTAATTAGGTTTTTAATGGAAATTCTCATTAAATGTCTATCTCATCAGACCGAGAATCCGAGCAGGTCAGTAGTTAAGGGTTTATTACTACATTTTTGGTTTGGTGAATGACCTTGCTAAAACTCTGCACTTAAAATTTTACATTGTTAAGTAATCTACAGCGTCTGTTACTGCAATAGACTGAGATTCTTAAGAACAAGTAGAGCAGGTATATAGCTATCAAACTCCAGTATTTTCTGTAGCTTTTAGCAATCTGCATTTCTCACGCCTGAGGCGCAGTATCTTTGTGTTTAAAAATACTATGGTTGGTTTGCATGCTAAATTGAGCTTTTTTGGTGAAAATTAGCATATAGACATTCTAAAATCTTGTACTCCTGCAGTATTTCTTGCAAAATTATTTTAATGTTGAAGTGAGTTCAGGATATTGGAAAATCAGTTTCAATACACTAATTTTTGTTGAGAAAGACTGATAGTCATTCATTGCAGTTGAGCATAACTTTTAGGCTAAATCAGATGGTTTTTTGCTGATCAAGAATATATTGCTATACCTACACATCTTCGACCAATTATATAATTTATAGTTTCATGTGCTAAATTCTTATATTCTTATGGCTAAAATATGAGAAGGATATTTTTCATTTACTAGAACAAATTTGTTCATGATATCGCAGTGTGGGTGCAAATTAAGATAAATAGAAAATACAGAAAATCACCAGCATTTTGAAGTGGTAGCTTTCATTAATTAATTTTAAACCTTACATGTTCTCTTTTAATAGTGTTTTTTTATATATAATGTTTTTTTCAAAATTAACTGATTTGTTGGAGGAGGTGTTCACAGTGTTACATTATCGTCCAGGGTTTTACATCTAGCAGATGTTAGCCTTTCTTAGTGAATATTGATTGTTTGGAAAAAGAAACTAAAGCTTTCATTTTCAACTTTCATTCAGTTTCTCAGCTGAAAATGAAACAGTTATTGAACTGAACTGTTTGAATAAATAGAAATTAAGAAACCCTCTTCTGCAAAAAGCATTGTTACTGGCAACATCTGGATCTAGTTTCTTAATCTGTGACTTAACTAATTCAGTGATTTTTACTTTCTTTAGAACTCTGGCAGCAAGCACATCACGTAATTATTAGTTTTGATAATAAGTTGAAGTCTTTATTACAAGTTTCACCTGTGCATTTATTTTTGGTATTCTGACTGACTTTAAGGTTTCCAGTCTCTGTCAAGCTGGCATTTTAGTAATTTAAACAGCCAGCATATTTTGCATATTTTACTTTTAAAGAACAGCTGCTTCGGTATTCTGATCTGCATTATGTTTTAATAATTCCATATTAGATTTTATTTCTTTTCACAAGTAAAAAATTTCTGCCACACTGACAGTGCTGTAAACATCAGCCTGAAAATAGAGCAGACTTCTGTTCTTCAAGCACTGTAGCAAAACTTACATGGTGAGTCATATAAAGCCCGGCTATGTTCGGAACAAAACATTATGAGGCATACTAAGGAACAGTGTATTGTTGCTTTTCTCACCTCTGTTAGAGATGCAGGAGGCAAAAATACTGTATTATGGAAGAAGCAGCTCTTGTAATAAACACTTTACAAAACCACAGAATTAATGCCTGATATTTCAAGTCACCATCAATAAGTTAAACTGTATTCCCTCTAGTTCTTACCACAAGAGTATTTTACCTTGGTACTACAGTATTTGTCAAAAGGCATTAATTTCCTTGTGGCTTTAATCTTTTTTTTTCCCCCCTCTTTCAGGAGTGACAGTTCATTCAGATTCTTTGTGTTCTTCTTTGTATATATCTGTCAGTTTGCTGTGCATGTACTTCAAGCTGCAGGATTCCAGAGGTGGGGAAACTGGTGAGTATTCTGCTTTCTGTAGCATTGTACTATCAAAACAAAACAAAACAAAACAAAACCTCTTATTTTATACAGAACCTGCATAGACTCTTTGGGATTATTTTTCAATAAAATTTTGTATCACTGGAGTTGTTGTATTTAGCATTCAAAAAAGCATTCTTAGAGTGTTCTTAATTAATTGAGAAAAGTGTATGAAAGGTATCCAGAGTGTGTAGTACTTCTGTTGTTAGACTGGTCAAAATTTTATCCTTTGATGTAAGCTACTTTGAACTAGGCTTTTATACGTTACCTCCTCTATTTCAATGGTGTGTGGAGATGTTATTTGCTCTATATTTAGAATAAAGGCATAAATAAAACTAAGAGAAAATGAGAATAATTTCGGTGGTAATAGAATAATATATAAAGAGTATATTCTGTCATTAATTATTTGTAATTATAATTATTAATATACTTACCAATGAGATTTCTGGCTAAAATTTGAAGAACAAGTGGACACTGTATTCAGCTGAATATAGTTGTATATCTTTGATTTAAGTTACTATATTGGAAAAGCTAATCTCTTTGTCCGAATCGCCTCCTTATTCTGCAATAGTTGATTTTTCTTTTAGATGCTTACAAGTTTAAAAGTTGTTTTCCATAAAGCAACCTGTAGTAAGTTACTTTTACTTCAAATACAGTTTCTATTTGAAGTCTCAAGGTCTAATATTTAGATTTTAAAAGGAAAAGCTAGTAGTTTGGAATCATAGTCACCACTCTTGCAAAGAAGTCGATGAATTTGAATTAACTAAAAGAACATACCCAACTAGTAGTACAGAGAGCTATGCCTAACAGTCCTGTAGCTGGGTAATGACATTTCTGTGTATGAGTGTTTTTTGCAGCTAACCTCCAGATGCATGCAAGTCAGGCAAAACAGTATTGGTTTAGAACTGGAGTGTAAGGAAAAATCCTCTGTTACTATTTTTGCTGTCAAATCCAGTGTTTTGCTTTTCAGTAGATACCTCTTGATTGACATGAATAAAATAGTAAGGTAGTTTTAGAGGAGCAACTCTTCAAGTATGTGGAGTGTGCTTTTCCAAGATTCTTAGGGAAAGGGTAGGAAAAGGAGGCAGATCATTCAAAGATGCTAATTACAGTTTGGATTTTGGAGCTTTGTGGTAGAATCCAGTTGGACATAGCGGGTATCAAAGCAATTTGAAACAGCAAGAAGAAAATTTTAAGGTTCTTTGGGTTTATAGAAATGTTTTGCTCTTTTCTGTAGAAGACTCTTTTCCCTCTTAGTGTCTTGTTTTTCCTAATGTAACATTTAATTTCCTGCTTTTGTGGTTTCAAGTTTGGTATTGTAGTTTATGTTGGTGTTAAGAATTTTAAGAATTGGGGAACGTTTAAAGTAGAGACTGCTATACCAGTATCCTGTCCCCCCCAGCTCTGTCCCTCTTTCTGTCCCTCATTTCTTCACCACTCTGCTCAAGGATAATCATCTTTCTCAAGCTTTGGCTTATAGTTTCACTGCATACATTGTGAAAATAGAATCAACGTTCAAAAAGCTTTTATAAAACAGGAATGTATTCATTTATAATTTCCATGACTTTTTCTTCCAAAATACTCAACGTTGACCAGAACAAGGAGGCTATAAAACTTCTCTAGAGGTGGATACCTGTGGTTGAACAGTTCATGTGCTATGCTGATAAAGCTTATCTTTTTTTTTTTTTTTTTTTTTCCCCCTTCAGTGGATGGATTTCATCTCTTACTGGTCTTAATAAGAGTATCCCTGTTGGCATTATGATGATAATCATAGCTGCACTTTTCACAGCATCTGCTGTTATTTCATTAGTTATGTTTAAAAAGGTAAGTTACCTATTATTTCACACTTTTGTTTCCTATGTTTGATCTGGATTGTACTTTCCTGCTTGAGAGAGGTTCTCTCTCACAAACTAATGAGGATTAAAAGATATTCTTGGGAATCTTTCACAGCTCTGCCTTACTTATTAACAACTATGCTTTTATAGCAATTACATTTTTGCTTGTACTGTCATGGACAGAAACACTGTGTTTACAATGCACTTACTTTCTGCAAATTGAAATGTGAAAGAGTAGCATAGAGCAAGAGAAGTTGGGAGGTAAGTCCACATTGAAAGTACAGGAGAATGCATAAGCTACTAAATACCCAGGTTGTAATTTTCAAGTCTGTAGCAATTCCTCAGGCTGAGTGAAGCACAGCCTAATTCAAATGATTGCTAAGTTTCAGCTCTTATCAAAATCATTCCCATGAAGAGCAACAGAAAATGGAGATGCCTGGCACCTGGGAAATGCATGTTTATTTCTCTGCTTGTATTATTTAACATTTTGTTGTCAGGTAGTGATTGCATAGCATAGAACTTCAGAGGAGGATGCTTTTTTCCCCTTGCTTCCTTTTTGTGAATTTCCAACCAGAAGGCCTAAGTTTAGATACTAACATGCTAGTAACTTTTTGATATTGGTTTGATTAAATGTAACTGGGAATTCCTATGATCATCTGCTGACAATTCTAATAATTCTACCTGATTTGTAAGTTAAACTTCGCCTGAAATTTTAAGTATAGCCTGGAGATCTTCTGTCTCCTTATTTGCTTTCTGTGTGAATACTCAGGTGCAGAAGAACGAAACAAATGAGAAAAATATATGGTGGAACATTTTTTCACATACTCTTTCTATGACACACATTTGGATTTTTTTTGGAAAACTTGCATACTCAGATATGACCAGGTGTATCTTTATGGATGAGAAACAGTCACATTTATAAAAAAAAAGAAATAAGTTACAACATTAGTTTTCTTGCTACACTTGAATGAAAATGTCTTTGCAATGTTATTTACAGTTTTATTGTCAGCTATTTAATTGACTACAGATCAGAGATAGCATTTTAATTTTAATACTGAGATAATTAGAAGTTACTGAGGATTTGCTTTTTACTGTACTAGATATTATAAGCCATACTGTTTAAAAAGTTTGTAAAACATATTGTTTATATCTCTGCTATTATGCAGAGCTATTGGTCATCACAGTAGTTTAGCAGATATGTATCTATATTATTAGGACATTTTATCCATTTTAATATTCAGTCATAGCTTAGCTTAATAGGTTCTTGTAGACATGTAAATCTTACAGACCTTAAAATGTGTCTAAAGAATTAGTATAGAAAAAATTTACCAGAATATTATTGACACAGTGGATTCAAAAATTAATTTTTTGGTTTTGCTGCCTGCCATTTCTTTTAACATGCACTTACTAACTCTTCAATTAGTAGGCCAAGTTGTATACAAATTGAGACAGAAAAAGCTTTTGCAAGCGTCTATGGCTCTGTGCTATGCTCAGGCTGCTGCTGCCTGTTTGTGTGTTGAAGTACGTGGTGTCAGGCGGGAGGTACCACACTCATTTCTGGAAAGACCTGTGAGAACTCCTAACTTGCACAAAAATGCAGGTACTGCTACAGCAAAGCTGCAGCTGCCGCAGGCGAATCAAAGCTGTAGGGTTTGTAGGAAAAAAAAGCCATTTACTCATTTCCTGATCCTCCCAAGCAGACGAGCAAACCAGGTTTCCCCGCCACACGGTTCTGCTTTGTTTGGAGACTTTGTTCTTGCTCTGCCAAGAAATGGAAGGCCTCATACGCTTTTCTCCTTGCTTTCCCACCTCCCTAGGTGCATGGTCTCTACCGCACGACTGGTGCTAGTTTTGAGAAAGCGCAGCAGGAGTTTGCAACAGGAGTGATGTCCAACAAAACTGTACAAACTGCTGCAGCAAATGCCGCGTCAACAGCAGCAACCAGCGCAGCTCAGAATGCGTTCAAGGGTAACCGAATGTAGAGAAATATAAAAAGTTATTACGGTTCTCTTTGACTGTACTTTTATTTTCCAGTCACTTACTATATTCCCTAAAAGCCTAGATCAAAATACACACAGCATGTTTGTCTGTTCTTCAGCTGTGCATGGGTAAAATGGGAAATGTTTGTTTTATTCTATTATAAATGTATTTATTTTTAAAAAGATAACCGTTCTTTGCCCCTCTTTAAAATGTTGCATTCTAGAAAATAAAACCGTATTTTATGAAGGATGAATAATTTCAACAATTGGCCTGAGAATGACTTATGGTACTTTATGATCAAATAAATATATTAGGGATTTGGAGGTTTTATAGTAGTTCACCCTGGGTTTTTTTGGTTTTGTTTTTTTTTAACTTCAAGAAAGCACTTTGGATCAATTATTTTTGTTTATAAGACCTTGTTACCCTATTTCTACTATGAGAAGTAGGGTAGACAAAGAGCTGTAGAAGGTTAGGTTTGGCTGCTGCTTTTGCAATTTCAGCAGCCGCTAGAGGACAGATACAAGTAGGGTAGATACTATAAATTCTTCTCCTGTTTTTTTAGGATAAGTCTTTTGATATAAACCTGTAAGTTTGCATGAATACCTTTGAGTTATTTGATCATGTTTAAATAGTGTTTTGGTCCAGAATTTACCTGCGCCACTTTATAAGGTTTGTTTGTATCTATTATCATGGAGTATTCTCTACCTGTGAGAAATGACTGTGGTGCATAAACATTCTCTGTAATAGAATGTGTCTTGCAGTGTACAGCTTAGGGAAGTTAACTGATGGTTTTGATCAGAGAGGTAAGTGATTATATATTTGCTATTTTTAATTTCAGTATTCATGTCTTGGGGTAATCATTCTGCTGGAAAAGAAACCAATATTGACCTTTAGAACACTAGTTTCTTGCCCCCCTCCCCACTTTTACATGCAGTGGTATTTTTGTTGTGCTTGGGGTTTTTGGTTTTTTTAAGTGTAGATTTGTGTTTAACAGTGGTACTAAATCTCTAGCCTTGTCAGTCACTCTGTTTACTGCTTGTCCAAAAATCCAAACATACAGTATTTAATTTTCTAACAAGACTGTTGTCTCAGATCAAACTTTTTAAACAATGACATTTAACAGATACTTGAATTCATTTTAACATAACTCAGCCTTCTCTGTGATTTGATGTAAGCTGGAAAAAAAAAAGCATTTTAGCTATATTGAGTTGGAAAAGTGAGAAAATCTTTTTCTTTTACAAAATTAAATGTTAATTTATTGAACTGGATGCCTAAGGGGTTAAATTGGAGCTCTGCAGCTGAACAATCCATAATGGTATGTGCCATCATAATATTCCAGTATTTAATCAAGTCTAACGATAAAATGATGTTTCTCTCCATTGAATACCATTTCATACTCTTGGATTGACTGATGAATATTATGCACAATATCTTAGGCTGTTTTTTAAAGTCCATTTTAGAAAATGGTGACAAGAAGGACCACATCCCACAGCCTATTTAAGTATACACTGCAGATGAAGTGTATTCTTAGTGTGAATCATGTTTAGCAAGACTGAGTTTTAAAATCCTGAGGCATCTCCATGTTCTGCGTGTGGATTGACTTTCGTAGAGTAATCCTTTTTCACTACAGTGTATTGGTAATAACATAAGAGCATTGCAAAAAATAAAACCTGTAACTTAATCCCTGGATCAGTATAATACTGTTAGCATAAAGTCCCTATTAGTATCCTTTATTTACTATCTTCTTTAAATCTTACCTGTATTAGAATAAATACAGTAGGTTCACCTATGCTGCAGTTGATATTCATGAGTATACATGCTTCTAAATATTCTTCATGTCATGAAATTAATTCAAATATTCCGTGTAATAGGGACTCTAAAATTTTATGCTAGTGGACGTGCTGGCATTGAACTTGAATTTGTGTAGAATATTATTAAAAGCTTTCCAGGCAAAAGTAACAATTTTCTACTGAGAGCAGGCATTACACTTCTAGCAGCTGCATCGTTCTTTTCTGAATATTTTAAAACTGACTTGAATGTTGCATCTAGGAACCCTACTAAGAATTGCTTTTGAATCTAAATATAAGCATCTCCCCTCTCCCCCGCCCTGCCTGTCCCCCTCTGCCTGTCCCTCCCTCCCTCTCTCTTTCCCTCTCTCGGAAAAAAACTCTCGGATATGAAGACATATATGGACATCATCCTTGCAATTAAATATAAATTGAAGATTGCATAGTAATATGCATAGTAATATGGAATATAGAGAAGACATTAACAAATAAAACCTGAAATTGACAGGTGGAATTTTTTCCCAAATGTTTAAATGTTGAGAAAACATTTAATGTTCAGTGTATAGGGAGTGTTGATTTGTAATGTCATGAAGTGAGTGTACAGATGTAAACCTCGTAAGTGAAATTCAAATTTAACTATGTAGTTAGTTTAAATGAAAAATCTCTGACACTTGCAGCTCCAGAGGGAGGGAGGGAGGGAGAAGTTTGAGTTTAGCTTTGATAACAGAAGGCTGATGTTTGTTAAAATATTTTGTACTTAACTAAAGCTAGACTTTACGGTCTCTTATTAGTTAAGCAGACTGTGGCGCCCACTTAAGTTGTCATTTTGTAGTATTGTGGCAAATTGAGTACAGATTATGAAGTTTAAACACTGGAATGTCAGTAGTCATTTATCTGTAGTTTAGGAGTTGGTTTTATTTATCTGAGGGATGTTTGTATATTTTGTAAATTACTAACAATGCTCTGCCATCCTGGTGAACGTCCTGGTTCTGTACAAACGCACTCATTCTGTCCCTCTGTTGCATGTCTGAGTAGTTCAGAAGTTTTGTATATTTATTGTATTAACACAGTGTCATAGAATAAAAAAAAGACTTTTTTCCTGGATGTTTGCTCTGTATAGTTTTCAACGGTATAGAGTGTTTTTTTTAATAGGTCAAGATTACGTGCAGGAGGGCTGATCTATGTAAAAGTCTCACTTGTTTTTTTTTAAATCCTGTATATAAATTCTGTAATGCTGCTGAAATGGGAAAGTAAAATGTCCACTATCAAAATCATACATGAGGGTAATGGGAATTAGTCTACCCAGATATTATCGAGAAAACCCCTAAGAACCTGCAGCCTGCTTACTTACTTGTACTGTAAAGTTAGAGGGTTACAATCTAAACGTGTTCTGTCATTACTGAATGAAGTTCTACAGATATGAAGTGAATCCTAAGACATTATTCAAAGTAAAATGAAATTGCTGAAAACAGCATTGGTTTGGTACTGTTCATTTTCCTCATTTCTGTTTGCTTACTGAATTGACACTTCTGTATCACTGCTGTGTTTTGCTCTTTCTGTTCAGGTACTATCACTGCCTGTTGATTTTTTTTCATATAATATCAACTGTAACACCTGTTGGCAAGTACTGAATTCATTACCAGGTTTTCTTTGAAGGATGAAATGGGTAATTTAACAGTTCATATAGACCACTGCGGTGTAGTTATGTTTGCAAACGCACAATACAGAAAATACTGCTCTGTTGTGTGGTCAGGATTGTTTTGGGAGCTAGCAGATGTGGGTTTTGTGTGCGCTCACACATCAACTTTCTCTGTTTCTTTCTTTGTGATTTACAAATCTAGGGTGGCAGGGGCAGCAGACTAAAGAAACAGGTCTTGAACTTTCTGGTAAATGGTGAGCGCAGTTGGGTAGCATGATAAACTTACCCTTCATGCCTTACAATTAGAATTACTACACAGTTTATGTGCTGCTTTCTGGAGATTACTCTACTAGCTTACCTCAAAAAGTTGTAAGCACGAAATCAGGAAAGTAAACAAGACACACAGAGAAAGTACAGGGGACATAAATGTGGTTAAAATATTCAGTGGTACTTCTGGAAAGATATTTCTGTTAGGCAAAACAGTCACGTGTCTAGCACATGCATTCTGGTTATGAATCAGCAATAAGGTACAATGGATCAGATGATAACTAAAATAAATGTGTTTTAGGTTTAGAATTAGTGTGCAGTTTTTTTCCCACAAACCAATTTTATGTCTGCAAATAGCTTTTATTCTGAGGTGTAGAAAAATCAAAAAGATTTGCAAAAAAATGGTACAGATTTCTTACCTCAGTAGCATCATACGAATTTAGCTTTATGCTGGGATTAAACTAGAAACCATGTCACACACTGCTGAGAGAAAAAAGGAAAAAAAAAAAAAAAAAGGTGTTGATGGAATTGCAACTTGTAGCTTGTGCTGCTGTTCATTTTGGTCTGGGGGTGGGGAAAAGACTCACCCAGCTATTTAATGGATGCACATGCTGCTTATCGAAAATGTGCTCTTCCTAATAAGCATTATAGTGATTGCGCCAAACGCCAGTGCTTTTGGTTTTAGCTTCCTGCCTAATACGCTTGGTGTGGGGATGTGACTGAGTAATGTATGTGTGCAAAAGATACTGTCCTACTTCAGTGCCGTTATGCTACTAACAGGTAAAGAACACTTTTTAACACATAGGAGGGCTTATACAAAGTGTTGGGAAGGCCTGCTCTCTGCTCGTTTGTACCCGTGGTTCAGGCAGGGAAGCGTTCAGCTGCTGAAATGGGAAATTGCAAAAACTTACTTAATTTTTCGATGCTGAAGTTGGCAGGTGTATTCGTTACTGGCAGTGCGCTTGGAATGGGGCTAATGTAGGACTGCAAAGTGCAGCCGAGTTTAGAGTCCAGTTACCTGGGACCATTTGCTCACCTGTTCTGCTTTGCACACCTACGCAGTTAGAGCTGGGTGAGCTACTGGCCAGAGACGGGCCCCATTTTGGCAAAGCGCTGCCTCTGACCACCTGAGGCACCAGGTGCCCTGCCGCTGCTCCAGCTGCCAGTGCTGCCCATCGATAGCTTTCCCACCGTAAAGGAAACGGGCATCTGTTGTCCGAGTTCCAGGCGTCGCACGCGTGCCGAAGCGCCCAGGGCAGGGCAGGGCTGCTGCCTTTGCTACGTGTGTATTTTTGATGTTTTAGAGGAAAAAAATGGATAAGCTGTATTGGGTAGTGGGGTGATATTTGTCTAAGGTGAGAGAGCAAGTGGAAGTGGTCAGAACAATGTGATTAAGTTTTGATTTGTTACTTTTCTCAATTAGACTGAATTGCTGATCTTGCTGCATTTGAGATACTTAAAGCTGGTTAAGAGACATTGCTTTCTACTCGCCTGGTATGGAGATTTCTCTGAATTTCACTTCTCTAAAGATACTGCAAATCAAGCAGTAAAAAAACCAAGCTCTCAGTGAATCACAGGAGCAAGACAATGTCTTTATATGCCTACTCTTCTGACGTTATGAACATATAGTAACCTTATTGCATCACTCTTCTAAACCTAGCTGGAGCTGAGGGAGGAAGCCACTAGAGCACAGAAATCTGTAATAATTAACATGTTGTTTAGAGAATTAAGTGCTGAGTCCCCAGTTTCCATCTCCATTAGCCTTTTTGAAAACCGGAGGCAATATTTTTAATTATACAAACAAGTACTTTGAAATTTCTTTCAGCAGTATTTTGAATTGGTAGAATAACCACTGTAGATATACCTGCTTTGAAATCTATACTGGTGACTGATGTGGTGACCTGCTGAGTGGCAACTGTACTGTAATTTGTTCTGGAGTGTACGTTTCTAGGAGTCGAGAAAACCATTCCAGCTTTTGACCAAGATCTCATTCTTGGAAGTTTAGCAATTGTCAAAAGCTACATTAAATTTAAATGCAATTAGTTACATGTAAAATTAATAGAATTAATAAAATTAGGAGAAGAGAACCATAGTGACTTAATATTAGCTGATAAGACAGACATCCTGACTTTTTTTTTACACTACTAAAACCCTGCTCCTGGTTCTGCCGTAGATTTACTTAGGAAAAAATATCTAATCTCTCTGTCTAGTGCTTTTCAAGTGGTAGGTGAGAAATAATACACATTCTCTGACAAATACCATTTCAAAAATTTGTGTGATTAAGGCATTTTTGTTTTAAAACTTTCTGCCGCCTTCTTTTCATCAAAAGGAGCTGCAGTGCTTTATTTAAAAATGAAAAGCATTTAAGTCAGATGTATATTTATTAAGAAAGTCTTTTTTAAAACAAACAAACAACTATTGTCGAACCCGTAGCTACAATTTCAGATAACATACTTTGATCAATAAGCGGCAATAATTAGTAAAGTCCTTTGGAAAGCTCACAAACTAAAAAAAAAAAAAATCCTTTGGCTCCCAATTGCTATAATGCTGCAATGTAAACACCTTGCTCAGGCTCAGCGTACCTAATAAAGTTGAATTAAGGTAGTCAGACTTCTGTTAAAGTTTGAAAACTCACTCACATTTTAATTGAAATTTTTGATTAAAAAACATTAGGTACATCATTCATGCTAACAAATGTACATAGTGGTGACTCAAGAACACAACATCAGTACCACAAATAAACCATGGCTCAAAATCTAGTCCAGCTGGATTGCCACAGCTTTTCTTTTTTAAAAAATGGCTGTGGTATACACGCTGCTGCTGCTGCGCTTGACCTTTGTTGGGCTCTGTCCTTTCCGTGATGGTTCCTTGTGGTAGGCTTCAGGGCCCACTGCTTCCAAGGAAAACTTGGAACTCTCCCTTTACCACTAAGAAGTGAGATATTCTGATGTGGGATAGTAATGCAAAACTGAAATGATTTAGCTGAAAAAAATCTCAGCATCCAGAAAGAATGTTAATTTTATTGAATAAAACAGATACAAAGATGATATAGACAAACCAGAAATAGCTCAGTTGCAATGTATTTTGCAGTGCCAAAAGCACATTAAAACACCTTGCTGAGCCTTTTCAGCTTTTAGATTGTAAATTGCCTGAGATGGATACAGATTCACATTTGAACTCTCTGTATTATTTAGATAGGAGGATTTCAAATCAGTCTAGAAGAGATTTTTAGTTAAATCTTTAAGCTACTGTCACTGTTGTTGCATTCATTTTCTAAACCAGAGATTCTATTACATTGTTCTAGGCTTAATTTGTCCACATCGCCAGAACCCCAGCCAGGCCTTCCCTGGGAAGTCCCTTTTCAAATATCTTGTTTAAACCCAAAAACTAAAAAAAAGAAAAAAAAAAATCCTGTTATTTCACATCTCACACAAGGTTGTGTATATATTTTTTTATATATATATATATTTAAATATGCTACACTTTTTTAAAAAAGGTCTACGGTACTTTACAGAATATAAGTTTACAGAGGCGCTCAAACCACAGATATCTGAAGACTTCTTCAATACCAAAAAAAAAAAAAAGTCAAAGTTAAAACTGAACTAATTGGCACACAGGTTTTAAGGAATCCACAGCAAATTTTTCTAGATCCTATGCAGTGCATGTACATTAAGAAGCAGTTACACTCCACAGCCTCATCATGACATTAATTAAATTAGCTTTAAGCTTTTTTTTTTTTTTTTTTTTTTTGGCCAAACATCTTTGAAAGCTACTGCTGAGGTGAATTTCAGGAACAACTCTGAAAAGCTGTCAGATTAAATGAGTGCACCATACACCTGGAAAAAACCTCATCCAGAAAAATCTGCAATATATACATACCATCTTATCACTTGCTAGAAAAACAGAACCCTGAGAAAAGAAATTCTGATTTGTTTCTGCATTTCTTTCCAGCCTGTCTTCTATCTGTGCTAGGTGATAAGCATGGATATTCTTGCAACTTAGCTGATTAATGCTGCTGCAGAGTAGTTTGATTGATAGTATACCAGCAACAAGCAGAAAAGCTGTGTTTTTTCTTGGTTACAAATGCAAACAACAGTAAAATGGTCCACTGACAATACTTCCTTTGTATTTAAAAACTTCAATATTAAAATTTTTAAGCGCTCTGGAGATCATAGCAGAGGTCAGCTAGTAATAGTAATATTAATTAATTAAATTATATATATATATATATATTTGGAAAAACTGACCTTATTCTGACTAATCAAGTGGTCAAGCCAAAGCAGCATTTGTCACACTAATATAGTGTCAAAATTTGATGGCAGTAGCAACATTGCAATTGAATTGCTACCCACCTCAGAAAAGCTAAAACAATAAAGCTATTTTCTGATTAATTTTTTTACCCAATTTTATGCTACTCTCGTTCCTCCTAGCTGCGCTTTTCCAGTGCCAGCACCCATGGGTGCACAGCTGGGTGCGTGCCAGCCGCGGCAGTGCACTCCAGCAGGGGGCTCCGCAGCAATGCTGCAAGGCGTCAAAGCCCCGTGCGGCAGGGCTGGGCTTTGTACAACTACCAGAGCTTTATAAAAATACCATGTCCTTCCAGAGGGACGTTTCTGTGTATAGGGAAGAAAAAAAAAAAAAAAACCCACCAAAACAGTAAGTAAAGCACAGGTATGGACAGGATATGCTGGCTTTTATTTATTAGTATTCGTATGCCACTTTGTGCTAGTGGTTTTGGTTTGTTAAAATAAATCTGGCTTTGTGCAGCTATTTTGGCATATAATTGGTTCCAGACCACAATTTTGAGGGTTTTTTTTTTTTAAATTAAATATTTGAAATGAAGTCAATTACCCATTTTAAAATCTAAAATATGGTGAAAGTGGGCTAGAGAAACAGGTTAACACAAGAAGAGATTAAAACAATACCTTTTTAGTATTGCCAGAGGTTGACCTTAGTTTTTGAGTAGTGGCTCACCAACCGTCTCCCCGTGCCTCCAGCAGCTGGCGTGAGAGCGCGTGGGTGCACACAGGCTGGGAGCAGCGCTGGCAGAGGCGGCATCCGTGCACGCAACAGCCATCCGTGGGGCGTTGACGGCTTGTGTGCGCACAGGCTCAAGCCCAGCCCTTGGCTAGCAGCAGCAACTGCTGAAAAAGTCTTGTATTGGGAGTGGCTTGCTATCTACCTGTACCATAACAACAGTGAATAGCTAATGGCACACGTTAACAGACTTACCAGGCATAAACCAGAATACCTGTTCCATATTATGCAGTGACCAGATGAAAAGGCAGCACTGTCATCCGGTAGGGTTAAATGTTACTGAGAACTAAGAAGAGTCTAAGATGCACTTAATATTTCATTAGAATTACTTGTCAGATGAATTCTCCCCTGTGCTTCCATACCACAGTTGCATCATTGCTTTTATTATTACCTTTTAAATTTGTTTTCAGAAGTAGTGCTAGTAAGTGATGAGACGCTACAAGTAATAGAACTGCCTGCCTTTGAGAAAGGAATGTCATTGTGGCCAGCTCTGTTTTATTTCTGCTGATTTAGTTGGAAAATGGTCCATACCACATGTGGTTAAAAAAAGGGAAAAGATCTTCCTAGCCTTTTAGACTTTGGCGTGGCTTCCTGAAAGATGTAAATGTATTAAACACTCCGCTGGCTCCAGGACAGTAGAGATATTGGTCTGTAGACTAGGAATGAGGTTTCACTGGCAAAAGAAAGAATAATACTGTTAAAAGTCCAACATGTGATCTACATTTGTAGAGGAGGCTAAAAAGTCCAGCCCCAACTCTTGGCATGCAAAAGATAATGCCCAGCTGTGCTGTGGAGTGATCTGCTTGGGATTCCAGGAGTTTCTAACAAAGGCACAATTGCTGTATAAATCTTTTAGCACATATTGGGCAAAATAATAATTCTACCAGATTTTAATCAGACACAGGTGTAAGCCAGTCTAACAACAGCTTCTCTGCCTGTTCAATGAGACCAAAATATTTTACCTGCTAAGTAACAAGTGGCACATATTTTGCATTGTAAGGTTCAAGACAAAGAAATATGGCAGAGATTCAACTTCAGCTCCTCCTTAAAGGTAGGTAGAAACTGCATCATGTCAACTTTTCTCTCTTCATTATATACTTATTATTCAAGAAGGCACTGTACTTTAAGGAAGTTCAGTATCAAAAAAGCACCTCAATAAAAAGTACAGTACCAAACCAGGTGGTGGTGAAATATTCACAGGTGAGGGTAGCCCTTGGAAACAAAACCTAATCAAAATAGGCTTCTCCTTTTTTTAGTATAAGGAAAACGTGCTGGCTTTTATTATTTTAAATCCAAATTTTTCAGAGTGACCAAGATGGGTAAGGCAATCGGTCAGTCAGATTTTG